AAACAGCCGCTCTGTCAACAGGAAGAGGCAGGATCTCGGAAAAAAAGGAAAACCATGGACGAGGATTAGAAAAGACCAGATATGGGCGGCTTGTGGGGGAAGTTTCCCATGTTTTGTCTGGCAGCCGAAGTCTCTCATTCTCCTTGAAGGCCTGTCTTGACGGTTTTTCCTCAACCGCTGACAGACAGCACAGTGGGCTTGATGTTGAGCGAAAAGAGGTTGTTCGGATGGGCAAGAAAAAGCCGAGTCATGTGTTTTCCTAAATAATTTTCTCGGAGCGTTTTAGGAGAATGCACTCCCTAGCTCAGCGGCATTTTATTTTAATTTAAATTAGTTTGATATTGTTTGCTAAGACCCTTAATGAACTTCAAGTTAGCGGTGGAATTTGAAACGTAGCTTGCATTTTAACAAGAATTGTAGGGCAATATTTGTATTCCAGGCAAAGAGGTTAGTTTGAAAAGCAATATGTTATAAAATGTCAAACGTCAAACCAATTTTCACGTATTCCACTTTAAAGATATAATAGAACACTCCTTCAACCGTAACAAAATGGTACAATTTTACGTTGGCGAGATTTCTAGGAAAACCTAAGATTCTGTTTGTCCCAAACAGCACCGCAGTATGGAGTGTCACACAAGTCTCTTGCATTTCGTTTACTTGAGAGGATACCAAGCATTAGAATACATTTTGGTATATTTTATTTAAAATAGGTAATATTGTTTCCAAAGCCATACAAAAAAAAATGGTTAAATTGATTGGCTTGACTTGTTATATGTTAAATCAAGCAACCTTTTTTTACAAACAAGAAGATATCTAAAATTACAAATAAATTCTTACCTTATTGAATATCGTCATTTGCCATTTTTATGTTGTGCCCCACCTTTCCCATTGAATTGTTCATTAAAACCACGTTCTGTTAGAGAATGCAGTATGTCAGGGCTTTAACCTGTTGGTCAATTCTCTTCGAGGCTCCCGACTCAGTCTTTTGTTTACTTATTCATTTGACAAAGTGAAACCGAAAGCGAAGACGGCGTCCCACTTCAATAAGCATATGATTGCCTCCTCGACGACTGGTGGTGCTTCGTAGCTTCTGGAATGCGGAATGTGCCTGAGCTCATTTCGGTCTGTGTAAAGCAATTTCCGTAATGAGTCCTCTCGTGCGCAGCACTTAAAAGTATTTGGGGGTCGGGCTACTGGTACTCGTCGATTGCGTTACCCATACGCCCGGTGTGCTGCAAATTACTTTGAGCTTTGTCGGCGAAATGCGATTAAATTTGATTAATTTGCTTCGCTTTTTCTGCACTTCATGTAATCCACTTATGAAATCTTAATACTCTTAAGATTATTTTCGCTTTGCACCACATGTGTGCGGGCCCAGATTGGAATTTCAAATATCGCAAGTTTCCAAAACAAATTAATTAAACAGTAGATAGAGGAGAGAGCGCGTGTAAACGCATTGACACAGCATCAATTAACCCAAGTAGGAGCCCACAATCGAGTTAATTACTTAATTTATACCGACCTTCCGTTCGGCCCGCCAGCTCACTGGTGAAATGGGATTAATTTGTTTACTACTGGCCCCGAAACAGCCGCGAGGAATGCCGCCAGCGATGTATCGCATTATGGGCGGCAAAACGGTCGGCACTAAGTCCTGCCGGAAAGGACATTCGGGGGGCGAACAAAGGGGGTTGGCGCCACTGACCAGAAGCTTTTCAACTGGAAAACACAAATAAAACCTCATGGAATTAAGCATGGCTTTAGTTGGCCCTAACTGAAAGCCGAAGACCAGCGAGTTAAAAGTTCTAAAGAGTTGGCAGCGATATTGGCTGATTTATGTGGACAGTAGCCAAGTAATCGGGCCAACTGACAGGAGGAATGAAGTGGGCTTGTGATAAGTGCGACCCGCTGAGTGACCCACTGCCATTTAAGCCAACTTGTAGAGCAAGCCATAAAGCCATCGTTGACCTGACAAACTTTAAAGACCAGCTTAATGCCAGCGATGATGTGCATGAATAGAAAATTAGCTCCGGCTTTCGCCTCCGTTCTTAGCCCACCGTGTACTCAGGCCCACTACGGGGAATTTTGACTGGTGCATGTTGGACGCCACTAATTAAAAGTTGGCTTAAAACTTTTTCACGTTCTCTGTTTGTCGCCGAAGTGCTTAAAATCGTATTTTAAATTTTTTTTAGCCTCACTCGGTCGGCGAAGACGGATAACTGAAAGCGCGCAAAATAAATGTTCCAACTTTTTAATTGGCAAAACAATAAAAGTGATAACAAATGAAATTAAACGAGTATGAAAAAATGGGAAAAACTTTTGGACAAGTTAAAGAAATGGCTGACCGAATTGCGTGCGGCAGAATAAATTACATTTCACGCCTTAATTAACGATCTACACGTAGAATTATATATTATTTTTTTTTAAATTTATTAGAGCTTTAAAAAATCTGAAAATAAAATTGTATATACCAGGATACATTTTTTTTATTTAAAAGATTAATTATTTCTGCAAAACAAAATATTTATGTAAAAAATCATTTAATAATAGAACAGATAATTACAAAATAACGGAGTTTAAAGTTATTTTAAAAGTGTAAGACTATTAAAAAAATTGTAATATACTTTCCTATTTTTGTACTTACAATTTTATTTTGTGAGTGTAATGAGAACCACTGGAGTAATTTAAAGGATCTGGGATTGGCACTTGCATATTTATAGATTTAATTTATTTTTATAAAGTACCAGCAGGCCATTGACTGACTGAGTTGAGAGCTCATTACAAATTTAAAGCGCGCCCACAGGCGTGTTGATAAATGACTGCGCACACATTGTTAATACTTAATGCGAAATTCCTGCGTAACGCCCGGATTGCATATTCATTATGGATAATCGTGCTTTAAGTGGTCAGCCGCCAGTCCGACAATTCAGTCACATCACGCGCCAGCCATTATGGCCGGGTTAATAAATAATATTTCAAATTGAGAGCCGACTACGTTGGGATAGACGCTAGGGAAAGGTGGTCATTAATTTTACATTTTTGCGCAGCCCTTTTTTTTGGGGTCTTGCGTTCAGCTGAACTTTGTGCATAATTTGCGCATAAAAAATCATGGGCAGAAACTGAAACACGTTCATTACCTGAATGGCCGTCTGCATGTCTTTCATGCCAGCCATATAACGAGCCCAAAGCGATTGCAGGGTTCAGAGGAGCCTTTTGTCCTTGTAACGGAAATATCCCCGTAAAATTCCGATAAATTAGATTTCCCTGAAATTCTTTCCCCGAAATTCTTTCCAAATGCTTACAAATCAGAGCGATTAGGCAAGAAAAATGATAAACTCAATGAAGTGTGCTTTTAAAAAGTTTCTATCCACTTACATTCCATTTTTGCAGTCCATTGCAAATGTAAACAACTTCCAGTAAGCTCTTTTTACACAAATGTGAGCAAACAGAAAAGTGCGTAGGTATAGGGCGGCTGTTTGTCCTGTGTCAGCAAATAAGGAAATCCTGCTTGAATAGATAGAAAAAAAGGCTAACGAAAATATCATTTACCGGAAATGGACTTCCACACACCCAGCCAGCATTTTTGAAGTCCATGCCAACCGGCTTAGCCGGATGTTTAGTTGCAGGGCCGGTCAATCTAATCAAAGTATTTGTGTTAATTATAGGGGGCTAATTAGATGGCAGGCTGCCTGACAAAAAGACTTCAGCTACTGGGCCGAAACCAATTAGCCACTTTGTCGCCGCTTAATGATTCCCTTTAATGGGTTTTCGATGGTCTTGGGGTTAGGTCCATGTATTTATGTAGTCGTATAGTTATGATCCAATTAGCCAGGCAAGCAAAATTCTTGGGGTTTGCTGGCTTACCATTTTTACAGATTTATCGTTCAATGGTTTGGGGCTTATTTTTACAATTACCCAGATGCCTTTCGTGCCACAATTTAGCATATCACCAAATTTGTTGACTTTGTCCGACCAAAATAGCTGCAGAATTTTTCTGCCTGCGTGGGAAAATTCGGACACACGCCCCAAAATAAGTGTCAACTGGCATGTGAAAATAGACAAGATGTGTGGGCTGCCGAGAGGAAGGCCTGCCACAAATTGCCGAAACGTGGCCATAAATTAACGGGCGGCGCAACTAATGAAAATGTTGGTCCCAGTATCTCTGTTTCCCCAGTATCCCTGATACCAAAATTTAATTAATCTCATCACTTTGGGCAGACAGTCATTGGACCATTTGCCGTGGGGATTGATATTGATAAAAAAGAAGGGCCAAACAATGAAACGCCGAAAATAAACAGACAACAGACATATTACATGTAGATTGACTAAAACTTTTCACAAATAATAGTCAATAATTTTTTTTTTGCATTTCCATTAAGCTGGTAAATGGAACAAAATAATATGATTAGAAAACATTTTGCGCTCATTATAAAACACAATTTATTTAGTATTCTGATGTAGTTAAATGTGTATGGACATATAAAAACTAATTTATCAAATTGGTTATATGTGTAGATTATATTGTGTATGTATTGTAGCTGACAACCTGTGGTGAATAATAATAACCACAAATAAAAACCACAAAATATATAAAACTTTAAATATTTAGACACACCTACTGTTTTCCACACATATCCGAAAATAGTTTATATTAAGCTCATAAATATTGTGAAAAAGTCTTCTTAAAAGGACTGAACTGTTTTAAAAATGATTTTCGTAACCCAAGCTCTTAAAGAACTTCATTTATTGTCACTTCGCCACAACATTTACTCAGGCTAAAATTTCCCCCTTGGCCAGTGAGCATTTTGGCCAAAATGAAGCTCGTAGAGCTGTAAAAAAAAACAAATGTCTGCCCATTTTATGCATATTTTCACTGCTCATTAAATTCGCTTAACTACCAACATTTATAATTCACTTTCCCATCCGCTTCGCCTCGCAGTCTTTTTTTTTCTACTATTCATATCCTGGCTAACTTGAGTCTCCACTTGCCTCTTATTTTTCAGTTTTGCAACAAAGTTGGCAACCCATAAAAACGTTCTGGCCGGGAGTGGAGTGGTCGCAAATTAGCAGCCACATCAATTAAGGCGCCGAGTCAAACTTAATTAAAACGCGTGTTGTTGGCCAGACAACTTTTCGGTGGCTGTCAGGACTTAATTGAAATTTAACCAAGCCCTGGTGCCGGGAAACAAATGCGTTGGCCCTCGTCCCGTTTTTCAGGCTATTGTGCCGGGCCAAACTGCTGATGTCCTTGCCGCACTGATCGCCCACCGTATCGTACAGGGCACTACCATGCAACTGCAACAGCAACTGCTGCTGCTCGCGTTGATGTTGCTGCTGCAGCAGCAGCGGCAGCAACCATTGCTGGTGAGCAGTCAGTCCCAGCAGCAATTAGCCGGGGTGTCCGACGATGGCAGGTCGAACAGCACCGCATTAAGCGACAATTTAAATTTAACGCTAGTACCTGGTAAAACCGTAAAAGCCACTGAGCGACAGATGAGAGCTGCTGATGAAGTGGCAGCCGCACTCGCACCCACACCCACACTCGCGTCCAAGTTGCAAGTGACACCTGCCAACCAAATACTTTCGAGCAGGACGCCCTCGGGGCTCCTTGATGCTCCGGGATCAGCGACACATTCTCCGGAATCATTGGCCACCGGAAACCAGTCGGTGGAACAAAGCGAACTCAAGAGGATGGGGTACGCTGCAACTCTAGACGCAATCACAACAGCAACTGCAATTCCAAAAGAAGCAGCAGCAGGTGTGTCAGCAACAGCAACAGCAGCAGCAGCCGCAGTAACTGCTGTAGAAGCAACTACAGCAGCAACATCTCTGTCACCCGAGCAACACATGCTGCTGCCGCGTCCAACAGCTGGACAAATAGCACGGGTAAATGTACCAGCCACAATAGAAAAACAGATTGCACCAGCAGTGATTCCGAGCCAAATAAACATGGCAATATTGCCGGCGAAAACTAAGCGCATGGGGTCGCAAATGGCCAACAGGAGTGCTGACGGAGGCGATATAGAATTGAATACGAATGTCGCACTAAGCCATGACTATGTAAATGCCACAGAGGCGTGGCCAGCGGTGCCGACAGCTGCCAATATGGCAGCGATGGCAGCCACATCGACCATATCGCCGGCAATAACGAGCACGCCGTCCCGGATTAGTGGCAAGTCCGTGCCCACGCCCCGCCTACTGGGTTCTGGCAGCGTGGCCCAGATCCTGGCCAAGTCCCTGGAGAGTCCGCCCCCCTCCGCCACCACGTCCTCCGGTTGGCCAGTTAAGCACGCCGCCGTGCTCGAGGGCGACGTCATCCTGGGCGGCCTGATGATGGTCCACTCGCGCGAGGACAGTATCACCTGCGGTCCCATCATGCCGCAGGGCGGCATCCAGGCCCTGGAGGCGATGCTCTACACCCTGGACCAGGTCAACAAGCACCAGTTGCTGCCGAACGTCACGCTGGGCGCCCATTTGCTGGACGACTGCGACAAGGACACCTACGGCCTGGAAATGGCCGTCGATTTTATCAAAGGTAAATGATATTTTCATTGTCGCCGTTTCCATTGATTCGCTTGCATCTGGAAAAACATAACGAAATTGGTAAATCCTTAGGTATTTTATCTCCATTACTTAGTCATCTGAAAACCGTAATGAAATTGGTAAAGCTTTGGGCAAACTGTAAGTATTTTATCTCCATTACTTAGGGGAAATATGAAAAGTACAAACTCTACTAACAACTTTTTTAAACTTTACAAGCCATTTGTACTTTTCCGAATATTTTAATGGTCTTGAGTAAAAGTCTCACACAAACTTATGTTCCATAAGCTAATGGTTTCGCCGTATACGATTATATAGCTAAAGCCCATATAATTGGAGTTACATAATTTTTTTCTTCTAACAAACAGTCTTAATACACCATCGATTTCTATGTATATGTATGTATAGAAGGCAATGGCTCAAAAAAATCACTTCAGATTTGAAATTATAAATTTTATCTAGACGTCGGGTTATATGTAAAACCATTTTATAAGAATTTGATTTCTTGCTGTCTTTAATTTGAGAATTCGATATGTTTTATTTTTTCATTCTATCGTAGCTACACAATTAAAACAGTAGTAAAATAAAGGGATTTATACTGAGACTCTTGAAACCTAAACTTAAGACAAATAAAAATTATTAATTGATAATATATTTGCATTTGCCTTCTTAGATGTACTTATTACTCTGATTTCAAGCGACCTTCTTTATTTTTTTGTTTTAATAAGAAAGAGAACAAATTTTAAAAGATAAATTACCTAAAATGGTAATAGGGTTAGACTTAACGTTGACAAATATTTCTTTAGAAAAGTTTAACACTGTTTGAACAAATTTGAAACGTTAACGCTTAAAAATGTGTCCCTTTCATTTTTGCTTTTTCTGCCTTCTGGCTACATTTTTTGTATAAATTTCGCGTGTTATTTAGATTTGTGTGACAGGTCATAAATTAGCATACAGTTTTATTTCTGCTGGTATAATGCAAGCCATTCTCATTGGCTTAGCAAATGCAATTAATTTTATTCAAACGAATAAAGTAAAAATCTATTTGTCTATTGATTTCCTACTAAATATGAAAATAAATATTTTGACTAAGGGCGTTTTGTTATTTGACTAATTTCCCGAAGTATAAATATATACAAACATTTATTTGTTTTTTTATTTTTTTTATCTGCTAATAAAGGCATCAATGCATTGCTTTATTTTTGTGTAGCCCAGAAATTCATTAAACTGATGGCCATGTTTCTGAATAAAAAAAGGCCAGAAATCACAATTTTTACACATTTCGAAAGCCCGTCAATCAAATTTATTGAATGGCTGTGTCCAAACAAGCGATCTCCAAGGGAAAGAATATTTAAAAAACGCAGTTAAATGGCCTGAAATAAACGAGTGTGAAATGCAATGAAAAGCTCTGAAACGGTTTAAATTTATTCAAGTATTTGCTTTTCTTGTGAGTGGTAAATAAATTCCCTGTAGTACATCAATTTTCCATAAGCCTCTCAATAACTTCAACTGCTCATGGTTTATTGCAGGCTCTTGTGGTCATTCAGAATTCAAAAGATAGCCTTGTGCATAAAACCATTGCAAGCCGAGTATGCACTACACAAATTTAAAACGTAGTTTGTACAGCTGCATAGCCGAGTCAATAGTATTATTACCTTTAACAACTGTTGAATACCATTGTGTGGCACTTTCAGCTCCGATTAAAAAAGCGATTGAAAGTCTGTTTTTTTTTTGTTTGTATGCAAATCGTTCGCCAACATACATGCAAGTTCCCTGTTTAAGTTCAATCCAAATCAATTGTTGAAGCACCCCAGGAAAATGGAGTCACTTCTGTTTGTGAATCCGCCCACTTCCGGCAATATTAGTATTGACATATTCGAATCTAGAATTTCTGTTTGGCAAACAGTTTTGGTCAAAAGGAACCCTGAGGAGTTACAATAAAATGCAGAGCAATAACAAATTGAAATTAACATTTGGACTCTCTGAAATTTTCATTTCATTTTTATTAAGATTTTTTCTTTGCAACGGTCAAGTATGTAAAATTAGGCCTTAAATTACATTATGTACTGAAATTAATTATTGCCTTAAAGAAAATACTCTTTTTATATTAAGATGTAAGTTGGAAAAGCTGCCATTTGCAGTAGAAAAATATCCTATTTTTGGAGACAGAAAAATCCGTATAACAACGAAGAATGTTTTGTATACGTTAAGCAATCAAAAACGCCTTTCTTGCATTGCCCGTGGTATTGAGAATGGAATTTGAGTTGTGTGGAAGCTATGTAATGCCTAGCCTGCTGTATAACAGAAAATAAGCTTTTGTGTGGATTGGGTCCTGGCTAGAAATGCCAGCAATTTGGTTTGATTTTTGGGACTTCTTTTGGGACACTCGGAGAATAGCATAAAGGGATATCCTTAAAATCTATAAAATGCACATCACATCTATTTCGGGCTTTACGATAACCAATCTTGGCCGGCATCTTTGCCCTGGGACATTAAACCATTTGAAGGCCACTCAACATATAAATTGTTTATGCTGTCCTAAAGATTCTTTACGACCCACGATGCTCGGTGGTCATCATCTCATCCCGGAAAATCATCTTGGGCCGAATCTGTGCCGTAGCTGACCCAGTTACTTGTAAATTGAATTTTTATATTCGCCAAACCCGCGCGCCACTCACTTTCATATGATATCCGCAGGGCGGGTGGCCACGCATCCCCACGCATCAAAGGAGCCATCAAAAAATTTATCTCCCATGAAGCGGTGTGTCAACCCTGGACGTAGGGTGCCCTTTTTGCTCATATCGTTTCAATTCGATGGGAAGCCCCCAATCTGGCGGCTGTGTTGTTGCCACTTAATGGAATTTGCCGCTTATGCGTTCCGCATGCCGCGCATTATCCTTTCTATGCCTGCCAGGATTCCTCTGCCTCCGTTTCCTGCGAAACCGGAGCTTTTTGCCTTCTGCCTTCGGTTGAGATGCTGCTGCTTGTTTGCCTGAAAGTTTTTCCTGTCCCGATTTTCGGTGTTTTTTCTTCCATTGTCTTGCCTCGTTTTTGTCGGCGTTTTTCTTCCTTTTTGCGACTTCCCTAAGACTTTCGCACATATGTGGCTTTGTGCGTGCCTGTGTGTTTTGACTTTTAACCAGGATTTTGGGCGGCCTTTGTCTAGTTTCTTGTGTCTGTTTAATTTGTGTGCCTTTAAGCTGGCTAAGCTGAGAATTATATTCATTCCCACATCGGTTGACTTTTTACTCAAGTTCTGATGGGGATAATTGGTGTGTTTGTGGGCACACACATTTTATTGGAATTCTTTACTTTCGAGATTTGAAATTTTTGCCCTAAAATAACCTAAATTGATTCTGTTTAAGTTTTCAATTAGGATTTAGAGTTTCGCTGGGTTCATTTGGGAGTGCCGACCACTCAAAAAGTTCGTCCTGCATTTCTGGGATATCCGGGAAAAGTGTAGCTTCTTTTGGGCTGCAATGAGAGTTGCCAGATTCGTTTCCCTTTATCTGCCCCTTGGCCGAGGTACTGGTAACAGCAATAACGAGATATTGTTGGCTTTTTGAGTGGTTTCATTCGCCTCTTCAGTTTGCAGTGCTCCACCTCCAATTTTGGTGTTCTTTTGATGGTCCCACCTAACTATTTTATAGTTGCGAGTTGTTGGCCCTTCTGCTATTGCTATTCTTCCAATTGCCTTGCGGCAATTGTTGTATATCTCGGAACTAGAAGATTTACTTTATGTTGACTTGTTCTAATATAGTTAACAGTTTCCGCTGATTCTCAAGTTCTTAGAATAAAGATGTAAAGTAAAATGAATTCTATTCTATCTAATGTTTAGATCTTTTTTATAAGAATCGTAAAATTTGTATGAAATTTAAACCGAATTTTTGATGTTCTAAAAAATTTACAAGTAAAATTATCAATGTTACAATTTTTCATATATTTATTTTAAATTTTTCCTTTATAAATCAAGACTTTTGGGAAATTATAGCCTTAAAAGATTAAAAACTAAGAGTCTAGTTTGCTTAGAAACGGATAATGCTGACTTAGAATATATAAAGGTTTACATTATATATTATATTGACATTATATTGGCTAAAATTATAACATAAATATTATTACTTTTTGTGTCAAATTTTTCATTGCGTAATAAGCTTGTGAAAAAATTACAAACCCGTATATTCAAATTTTTTTTTTAAAGCTGTACATGTAAACCATGGTTTTTAAAAAAATATATTTGAAACTAATTTATTTTGAGATATAAAATTAGTATGAGTATGTAGTATGAAAGTTATAAGTTTATTTTAAGTTAAAAGGTTATTGACAAGTGAATGGCAGTGTGAATAACAATGTATTCCATTTTGAACGTCGACATAAAGGCTATTTATGATTTTAAAATTTTGAGTTCCCGTTCTAAATGGTATTTTCAGCAACAAAGTTTATGTTTTATGCAATGCCCAGTCGCCTGCACGAGAATCAATTTGGTGGAATTTTATGAAACCGCGCATATAATGGCGCGGATGGCAAACAGCGAAAAAACTAGCGACTCCATGAAAAGCCAATAGTTGTTGGCCGTAAGCGACGAACAGTCGAAACGAATTGTTTGTTGTGGGGGATGAATTTGGACGAAATAAAAGGCCGCAGACGGGTCCCTTTACCCCTCCGCGTATGACTGTATGCCAGTTATGTGGTATAACAGAAAAACCTTCCCCAGGCGCATGCTAACAAGTGTTTGTTCCATTCATAAATTCTACTAGCCCAGGGGCCGCCAAAGGACACGAAAACGAGCTGAGCCGAGTGGCGGCACGAAGGCGACTCAACTTTGCTACGCTTTTAGAACACCCCTCTCGTGTCCTGAGTTTAGCACACGGCTCTTGTTGTCCTGTCTGATATCAGTTAAATTTCAGTTGCACGCCGGTCCTTCGACAATGCAGACGCCCTCGGTACCTAATCAGCTCTGATTTCCATATCCTTATCGGACATTGTATTATTAAC